CCTATATGATGATGATGAAGCCTATAAAAAAAATTATAAAAAGAATAAATAAATAATTTATGCTAACATCATAAAAATGTTTTATCTCACCATTTTCGTCTGCTTTTTTTTTAGGTTTTTTTTCTGTATTCTTTTCAGCACCACGTTTCACACTCTGTTTGCTTTTTGATGCAGATGGTTTCATTTTTACATCTGCCGGTTCTTCAAAATGTTCATTCTATGAAACATAAACATAATAAATAGTTTAATTTTTTTCAACTAAAATGAAAAGCAGGTTTTAAACCGATTTCAAAAATATTTAGTTAAACATTAAATATTATATGTGTGATGTTACAAACAACCACAAATTATAACCATAGCGTTGAGTAGTTTTACGACTGACCTCCAATTTGCTTTTGGTTATTAAAAGTTATTTTTAAAAAAAGTACTAACCTCTGATTCAGAAGACGCGATTGAAGTTCTGTAGGACATCTTGAGCTGTGTTGAAGACTGTACTGCACTGTGTTGAAATTACTGGAGACTAATACATTTTGACGATATTCTGCTGGCTTTTATACACAGATATTTTCCACAACTCTAAACTCGGCTATATGCGGGTGCTTATTCCAGTGACGTGTAAAAAAACCTTTCTATATTTTTCACATTCAAATCAGAACCGGTATTAAAATTAGAAAAAGATATACATTATCCTAATGTATATCTATTTATTTCAAATGTTTTTTGCAAACTGTTAATAAGAATATGAGGTCATGTAAAGTCATTGACTGCTGTTTATACTCAGATTTTTAAATGTTCCCATGTACATTGTAATTTATTTCAAGAGTTCTTGCAAATAGCAATGACCTGAAATAAATCTTAAAATTTGGCTATAAGCAGATACTCATTGTAATGACCTTACCGCATTTTCACATCCTGTTCAGAACCAGTATAGAAACTTATTTTAAGTGTTGCAAATAATATAATGTTGTTTAATGTTATTCACTGCTGTAGGATACATTCTACTAATATTGAGGTCATATAATATCATTGACTATTGCAAATACCTACTTGACTAAAATTTATAGTAGGTGGAAAATATTTGTGTATAAAAGCCAGCAAAATATTGCCAAAATTTAACAGTCTCCAACCATTTCAGCACAGTGCAGTACAGTCTTCAACACAAGTGTTCCAGCTATATCAGTGAAGAAACAAGCCAGCAGACCATCATCAACATTTATAAATCTACAGCCCATTTCAACGCAGTTCAATACAAGTGTTCCAGCTCTTCAGACTCAAGAAACAAAATATTTTCAAATTCTTTCAATTATGTACGTACCTATTTTATTATTTAGTAACTTTATATACTTACTTCTTCAAAAAAATT